ATGTTGGTTGCGAAGGTGTCTGCTCAAAATGGTTCCACTACTCTAATGTTGAGTTTTCGATGCTTTCAAAAAGTAAAAATTTATATTTTCTATGTGAACTCTGTAGACGTAAATGCAGCCTTGTTTAAGAAAAATCCCTGTCTGACATTTGCGATGTAGTTCAAAAAACCATCCAGGAAAAGTTAGATGAGCTCTCCAGCTTCAAAAACAAAATTGTCAATATTCTAAAAAAAAGAGATTCAAGAGAAAATTTCCCTTAGACTCGACGACTTTTCTTCCAATTCTTCAAACTTTAACACATAATATTATTACTTGTGTACGCGAAAATTACAATTTGGAAAAAGCCAAAAGTATGGATTTCGTTTATAAACATTTGCCCTTACGTCACGTTCCAGCGCTTCTCTCGCCCCCTTTTTAATATCCCAAAACGAATTTGAGTTAGGCCTCTAGTTTTTGTCTCAGTAGAAAGTGGATTATTACATTTTGTCAGGCGTGCTTCTTTTCCAGATCGGAGAATATTATCACAGTGAGGGATGCTACCTATATTAAATTATTTTTGTATTTTGTTTTGATGAAAAAAAAATTGCTTTAGAAAAATTCGTTTCAAAATGGTTTAGGGGATGAAACGAAATCTTTTAACTATTTAAAAAAGATGATGAGATCCGATGGTTTGTAAAAATTATTTCTTAATATGAAGCATATATAGGGTGTCTATTTGAAAAGTAACAGCATAATATTGCTTCTAACAATGATGTAGCAAAGTCCTAATAATAAGAAAGATATAAAATGAGTTTAATAACGTCAAATTTTAAATTATGGCAGTATTGTCAAATAAATATATATACAAATAGTTGTTCGTAGTTATAAAACAACGTCTTGATACTATATATGACTGTTCTCCTTAGTAAAAGTTTAAATAGAACGATAATTGATTTGTGACATTGTTCTTCGAGTCCATAAATTACAAAACAGACATTCATACGCGACGAACTGAGAAATGACACTATTGCACTGCAATATAATGAAACAGTGATACTACTGCCATCACTGGACAAATAAAAGTACAAGTTGTGTCATTGTTTCCCAGAAAAATTTCAGTGTTTTATAATATTTAATATATTTATATTAAAAATCATAAATTTTAAGATATGTCATTGTTCTTCTAGGGATGTAATATACTACCGTTTCCTGGAATTTTCCCAAATAAAAGCATCTATTTTTTTCATCGTAGTCTTTCTCATTAACATAAATTAAACAAGAAAAAAAATCAAAGCTGTTTTTTTGCGGTCGAATCCACGTCGCAGATGTAGATAGTTCACGAATTCCAAAGTGCATGCTTTCGCATTATTATGAAAATTTTCGAGAGTGCTCGTCTGTAGCGACCGAATAACAAAGACCTTGACAAAAAAATATAGTTCGTCCTCTTCATTTCCTTACATTGGCTTTCCCGCACACTACAAAATCTCTTTTGAAGTAAGTTTTCAATGCGAAAGCGGAGACGACTCGATTTAGTCCATGCACGGTTTCACAAATTGTTTTTTTTTACAATATTCGCTTTAAACTTACTATATGTACTATCTTTGTTGTACTCAGCATGTCTCCGGGTGATAGATAGAAGAACGGCCAGGTTGATAGTAGACAAGTAGAGTGAGAGAACCTAAGAACTTTTAAAAACTTTTACAAAGGTTATCATCGCAAAACAATTCCCCCAATCTAAGGTGTAAGGTAATTTGGCCAAAATCCAAAAACTGCAATTACAATATATGACTTAATAATTTAATAATAACAGAACAAAAAGACCTAATAAGGACTGCACTGATCGAAAGGCTGGAAGAACCAAACGAAGAGGACTTTCACGCAGGTTATCTGGAACTGAAATAAGAAACAGAAGCTTAAACCTTTCTTGCGTAGATCAAACAACCTTTTGACACCCAAAAACCTGCATTATTGCAAAAAAACGCTTAAAAATGTTTCCACTATATGAATTTTGTACAAATGACCTAGTGACAATATCTCTCAAGTTAGATTGAGGAACTTTAATTGTTAGATCCGTCTATCTGCCAAATGACCAACCAAGGCTCTATTCAACCTATGAGGTGAGAGAACTGGTTAGTCACTGAAAAAAAAAAAAAAAAACTATTGTGGCATTATTAACCGAAGAGAAGCTCTTTTAGAATTTATTGTTTCCAATAAACTAAAACTGGCACTTCTTAAAAAAAGTATCACTTTCCGACAATAGGAACATGCTATTTAATCTGGGTATAGAAACTTCGTATTCCTAGGACCTGTAATTGGGGGGCTTCAAGAATAAACTTAAGCAGGGACTTGAGAAATGTCCTCAAACACCGAAGAATTCAGTAAAAGTCAGAAGCCTAAAAAACATGTTTGTAATAAACTACCCTATAAAAATAAGGAAAGAGGATTGAGATGCTATATAGTGCAATCAAAACCTTTTCAAAAAAGGGCAGAAGTACGCAAACTCTTTAACATGGTCAAAAACTCAAGCAACTGAACAATCTACAAGGCGTACCGGAGAGAATATGGTTATGCTACTAGATGAAGAAAATTCCTAGACGGCAAGGGGAGCCTTGCAGAACGTTGTAGACTCCCAAAAACTCTACAGAGAGATAAGCAAGGATGCATGGAGGTCTCTGAAAAATCAATAGAATAATAACTAAAGTCACACTTCCCTGGATTTGATATTCTCTATGACCAAGATAACAGGAGTATCGAAGGTCTTGTTCCTAATGCTTCAAAATCAAACTGATTTCTTGTAAACACATTATTAAACAGAACAAAATTTGTATGGACCAAAAAAGACAGATGAACCTGATGGTGTAATCCCGGCACTTCTACAAAAGAGCCAGGAAGTATTGGATGGATCACTGTAGAGCTGATACGTAGTAGCTATATTCAAAAATGAAGGTATCTTTTAATATACACTTTATTATTAAAGAAGACAAAACTCTCACAGGAGTACAGAGAGATGAAAACTACGATGTCAAAGAAAAGGAAGAATTTCTGGTTTTTCCTAATGCTAAATTTTACCATTAACATTCTTACTGATTTTCTTTTCGCGGCTTTTGAAGATTATATCGCGTTCATCATAATTTAATTTTTTACATACCAATCCGCTTAAATCGTTCCCGTTTGCCCGAAATTGGCGTAGCCATATTTTGTATATAGCCGATTGAAAAATTAATTGAAAGTCTTTGCGAGAGCAACATATCGAATTTCGGTTGAATGCCTATATAAAGGGTCAAAGACTGATACCGCGGTGGCATTACGGCAAAGGGTCAAACCCTTTCAAATCGGATCCTTTGTAAGATCTCTTATTAGTTTTTGTCGGTGAAATTCATGAGAGATTTGCACAATGCGTCGGTTAGAGAATCGCATAAGGGCTCGAAAGGGCCTTACGCGAACACAGAAAGACCCGTCTGGGGCGATCCGCCTTCTGTAACAAGATCGTAATAAAACCGTACTATAAGAGTTTTGTTTGATGATAAGCTCCAATTTTCTATTGAATAACTGTTCATTTTTACCTTAGCACACATTAAAACCGTAGGAGGCTTGTTGGGTAATAAGCTCCATCTTCTTAGTGCTTTAATTAAGATCTGAAATTATACGATTCGACTAAATTGCTTATGAAATAAATAGGTAAAAAAAGTAAGCAAAGAAAAGTATATCTTTCTGAAATAACATGGTAATTAATGTTTTTTTTTTAGTTTATCATATTTGTGAAAGCACAGAAAAGTTATGGGCCAATAAGAGCCTTTAAGGTTCCTTCTCGAGCTGATAAATCAGCTTCTTCGTTGGCCTTCTGTGGCCTAGTACCCAGGCTAAAGTTAGTTTGTTTAGCATGATTTCTATAGCTGCTGTTGAAGTTGTTCTCATGGCTCTAGCTTGCCGAGTCTTTGGCCACCATACCGCCGACCCGTAGGTTATCATCCGTCTTATGGCTCTGGTATATAGCCTTAGGGTAATTTTCGGTTGTAGTCCCTAATTCTTTTCCACACAACCTTCGATATAAGTTGAAGGACGTTGTGCTCTTTTGGATGACTTTTTGCAAGTGTTGATTCCATGTCAAAGATGACTTCAAAGTATTTGGCCTCTTGAGCAAATGGAATCTTCACTCCCTTCAGTACTGGTGACTTTAGTCCTGTCAATACTTTTCGTTTTGTAAAATTGACTATTGTGGTTTTGTGAGGATACAAAGAGACATGGATGAAGATACAGTTAATGAAGAAAAGAAACATTTATAGGATACTGAAACAGAGGAAACGAACTAACAGGAGTGAGATTTTCTTTAATAAACTGGGAATATTTAATATTTTTAGAAACATTTCTGCTGTAAGAAAATGAAATCCGAAGAAGATATATAAAAGTATCAATGTTTTTCAAGCCATTTCTGTTTTTATTCTTCACCGGAAATTCTCATTGTTGTTTAAAAAAAAAAAAAACAAATATTAAAATCAGAATGTTTAAAAACTAAAACAGTTTTTTTTACTACTTACATTTCTCCATTATAGTATGTTATAATCTTATGGTATTCGTTTATTATAAAAAAATAACTAGCTATGGTATTTTTTAATAATTGGTATTCTCTTATCGCCCAACATCATATAAAGATGCCTCTGGTCTTCAAAATGTTATACCTATGTAATTTTTTATCCATCTCCTCATCAGATTGTTCATGGTAAGTGAATACGAAAATTATAATACTGAAGAAGAAAGAAATAATAATTGTTTATTGAGTATTCATTGTACATTTCGTATGCCAGTATATAAAAGTTATGAAAGTTGAATTTGATCCGACAATGTTATTCTATAAAATATGAATGACGAATCTTTACGTAAATTTTTCGCTAGATGATCCAGGTTGACGAAATCCAAGCAGCTAATTGATGATTTGGAGATTTAGAAATTGAAATTTTATGTATTTTTAGTTCAAAATTTTCTTGTTTAGTATAGTTTTTTGACTTATTTTTAATAATGTTTAGCAAAGGAGACGAAAATACCCTCATTTCAGAAAATAATCTCACCTAGATATACACATTTAAATCAACAAGATTCCTTTGAAAATCCATCAGGTATATTTATTTAAAAATTAGTATTTTTTACATTTTTTTAAGATATAAATAATACACATTGGGCTTGAATTAAAGCATTTCTTACATAATATATTAAAGTACTTATGAATGATTCTGGCACACTGTTTATCAGCGGTACCAGGAGCAGTCAACCAAAAAATTAATTACTGTCATCTACAATTTGACATGGTAATCGACCTGTTACATTTGAATGCTGCTTGTGAAGTGGATATCGATTCGTTCATTCAATTATATTTTGTTTCTTGTATTTCTTCAGGAAAAAAATAAAATAAAATGATGCAAACAAGTAACTTTGAAAATGTAATAAAGTTTTGTTTACAAATGGCTCAATTTGATCAAGAATTAAAAATAAATCAATAATTATTATAAAAAATGATTTAATTTTTTTTATATGTCATGCTAATTTTAATCAAAATATTTAAATAAAATTGTGACAGGTTCGTTAATGAAATCCTTTCTTTTATATCTACCGAAAATTATTTATAGGAAGTACTCGTAAGACGTATTTGAAATTTTTGCTAAAAACAATAGATACTAATTTATGAAAATATGTAGAATCAAAATAGAAGTGAAACAAGCATCTGTCAGACCAGGAAGACAGAAAAATTAAAACATATATATCTTGGGAAGACGAATGGAAAAAACGATAGAAAAAGAAGAAGACTTATACTTAGTAGCTTTCTTTTAGATACTGTTTTATGCACTTTACTTCTAATCCATATATTTAGGTATACAGCAAACAATATACATCTTGAAGTCCCTTATCAACTCTAAAAGTTTTCCGATATATTTAGGGGACACACTGTAGTATTTTATAAAATAAAAACCTTATGTTTTCTATAGAATACAAAATAATTATTCTTCTCACGCCACTTAACCGTCATTCTACAAACTTTTCATCGCAACATCGTATGTTAACCACTTTTTTTTCCATTAGTAATTCATTTTATCCTCCTTTCAATCTTCTATTATACTTTCGGTTTCTTTGTTTATAACAAAAACTACCTAAATTAACTGAAATAACAAGAATAAGACCACAAATGTTTGTTATTTCATTCTAAGTGCGGTTATCATACAAGGTAAATTAATACCGAACGGAAGTCTATGCCATTCAATATTTTCCCATCCGTAAATCCTTACTTTCCATCTTTTTAACGATTTATTAATTCACAACAAATAAAAAGAGCATACACACCTCCATATACTACACAATAAACGTTTGTAGTGTGTTAAGAAATATTGTGTATTCATTATGATCGAGTGGTATTTAATATTCTGTTATTTCAATAAACATTGTATTATTTCATAACGTACGTCTCAACAATTTTGGCGAGAGATACCTTCTAATGGAATTAGAGTCCAATTTAACTGTACATATGAAAAATTTAGTGTTAATAGACGCTCTTATGCATGAACATTTCAATAGGACTGTTTGGAGTATAGTTTCTTGACGTGGAATGACATTTTTTGGATATTACAACTTCTTCTTTTACTCGTACCTTTACTTAGGGTGCTGCGTAACATTGCTCCCTCCTCTCTAGTTATTCGCCCCAAATAACCTGATTACTGGGACCTGGATGAGTCAACGTGGAAGATCTGGACCACGACATGGCGCTAACTGTTCAATGTAACCTACATTGGGTTTACTTCCCGCTGATAACTGAATGCGATAGATCAGGTCGTTCTTGAGGACGGTGTAGGGGCCTTCCAAGTTCCGTTGCAGTTTCTGACAAAGTCTCTTCAAAGCTCTACGTCCTGGTTATTGCTAGACAGCTGGCTAGGTGTAGGTGTCTCATAGCTACTGTAATTATTTCTTGTTGAATTTCGTTACGGGCTTCAAGAGATTAATCTATGTGACTTTCTGGCCTTATTCCCTGATTCTTGATTTATAGAGCGAGCTTTGCTTCTGCAGGTCTTTTGAAGGTGTCCGATTCTTCCGCAATTAAAGCATCTTCTGCTTTCATTTTGGCTGTTTCGTTGCACATTTTTCAGGATATTTAAGATTTGTGCGAGAATATTTGGATAGAAGTTTTACTGCTTCATATTCCTGGGCTGCAATCAGTTTCTCCCTCAGTGTCTTGTGATGTTGTAGACGAAGGGTTTGCTGCATTTCCACATCTTGTAGTCCATCAATGAATACCTGTAATCCCATTTGTTCTTGGAAATATGCGGACGCCTGTGGTTAGGCCAGATGAATCAATCTTATGTCGGCCTCGAATTCCAGTAGACTTTCATTATGTTTCTCACTACGAACCTTTAGCTGCCATATCTTGTCTCCAAAGAGATGAATAACTGGGTTTTCCTTGAGAAAGTAACTGTAAAACGGTTGCTGTCTGACTTCGCAGTACCACTATGAAGGAAGCCACCATCTCTTTCTCGGCCCAGTTATTGACTCTAGCTGCAGCTTCAAATTGGAGTCGATATGTTTCCTATGTCTGACCGTCAAACGTGGGGGTTTCAGAGTCTTGCCACTATGGTTTTGTGAGACTGGGGTCGGTTATAGATGAAGACGAGGTAGTATTTTCAGCTTGAATGTAGCTTACGGAAGCTTGGCTACGAATTCTTTTCTCTAACTCGGCTATTTCAGCTCTAATTTGCCTTTCCAACTCTACATGGGGGTTTCAGAGTCTTGCCACTATAGTTTTGTGAGACTAGGGTTTGAATACGGCTCAGGTCGATTACAGATGAAGACGAGGTAGTATTTTCAACTTGAATGTTGCTTCCGGAAGCTTGGCTACGAATTCTTTCCAACTCGGCCATTTCAGCTCTAATTTGACTTTCCAATCCTACTCTGTTCTGTTCTTGTTGTTCTAAATTAGCTTTCAAATTCTCTTGCTGTTGCTTTAAATTGGCTTTTCCTCCTCCATCTTCACAAACCATGCTGGGGGACCTGAAGTATCCATGCCTGTTTCGTACTCAGTGGATCATGCATTTTTTTTAAATAAACTATAGACGTGAATGTATTGACAGCAGCTTCTGTTCTTCCGTCTACCTTAGCAAGTAGCCATCGAATTTCCAGAGGATACTGCTGAGATTTGTTTTGACAAGTTTGGATCCGTTAAATAATTGTCAAATGCAGTAAGTGAGGCAGGACATATTAGATATTTTATTTCCCAGGAAGATGTAAACTAAGGTGATTTGGTAGGAATAAAGTAGTTGTGTCCCATTTTTTAGTTGGTAAGGCTTTTTGAAATTTGTTAATCAAACTTAACTCTATTGTATTCGTTATTTATCTAATATAGTTGTTAGTTTCTCTATATTTTTAAATTTACATTTTATATTTTGTATAATTATTAAGTTCTTTTATTATTAGTAAAAATAAAAAATCATTTTTTATATACCAAGATAATAAAATAAAAACATTACTGTAAAAACTGTGTTATTTTAGAAATAAATATTGAATTCAAATTGAATTACTATATTATGTTGCCCATTACCCACTTTCCATCTTTTATAGCGTACCTAAAAGTCCCATGTAGTAGTTTATCGTCCTTTTTTTGCAGACCAAAATCATGAGCTCGAAAAAAAGTAAATGTCTTTCAAGTTATGCTAACATTTTGAAGTCGTCGATCAAGAGGATTAATCGCCGGGCCCAACCGGAAAAAAATTGACTGCCAAACGCGGCGCGGCGCAAATGTTTCATGGAAGTCATTAATCAATTAACGTAATCCTGGAAATCAGGGAAGTTGCTCTCTGATATTTCTCATCACTCAAAATGATGCTTCGTCGCCCTTTATTTTATTACCGGATGGTAGATTTAACCCAGTCGTTTTGGTTAAAAAAACTGACTTGGTCATTATTTAAAACATTCTTTTTCGTTTTGATAGTATTTATACTAAATTAGTTCGTAAGTTTTTTTCTACAACCACAGTCAAAAAGTCACAGCTCTTTGCGATATTATTATATATTGGATTGCATATTAAAGCTGTAGATGTATTTAAATCTTATCTGAGACTACCCGAGTGCTACAGGGTTCAATGTTGGGGCCTACACTTTTCTCAATTAATCAATTTGCGGATGATACTAAGTTATACATGTCTTTTTTCTTGGTTGAAGCAAATTATTTTGGGAATAAAGCTAACTCAAAAGTGTAAAAGAATACTTCTCAAAATTTTAATGATGATACCATTCAATTTAGCGATAAAGACGTAGAAATACTCTAACTAACTTTACTGGATATTGTTTGTGAATCGCTCCATATTATAACTCTGTATTTCTAGTTTTTTTTTTTTATAGATTCTACTTTATTTAAAAGAATATATTTTTTATATTTGAAAATAAATATTTGGACGGTACGCTTAAAGAGCATTATTTGACTGGACTACTTATTCAAAGCGACACGTCCGAATAGAAATGAATTACTCAAAAAATGAGTCACGAAAAAGTTTTTTCAAACTTGATAATTAAATTAATGGTTATAATTAGTTATATCAGTTTTGTGAATATAAATGATACCTTCGGGGCTCCAGTAAGAATTTGTGACGTTTAAATTTGATAGATCGATTGGTTTCAAATAAAACAAAAAAATTTCTGGAATAAAAAAATGTACCTACCCATTTCTTTTACGTTAAACATCAGATTTTTAAAAAATGTTATGTACATTTAGGAAATACCTACATATATTTAAACTTAAAACTACAGTACTGTTAACAAATCAAATTGAAAATTATCAAACTCCTGTTTCAATTTCTAGTAACACTAACTCTCCGACTGAAACGAAAATCGTACAAATATTGGAACTGACCATAATCATCGATTAACCAAAGATCCTGCTAATCGTGAATCTCTACAAAGCTTAAAATAACACTTCTCTATCATATCTAAACACACAGAAACAGCAAGTGGACCATCTATCCTCCTCCACACCATCAAAATTAATCTCAATCGAATGGCTCGCAGAACGTGGATGTGCGAAATCAACATCTGGCTGATTTT